ATAGCGCAGCCACACCAGCTCGTTAAAGTCGAGCGCAGCCTGGCATAATTTGTACTTTTCTCGCTGGCGCACTTTTCAAGATCCCCCAGAAAGTCAAGGCTGCCATGATCCTCGAGTAGACTCGAGCTAGAGTCGAAATATTACGCGCTAGCTCGCGTATATGGCGCATTAACACGACTTTTCAATTAGATAATCATCGCGTATATACCATGGCCAGAGCCGTCCAGAGGTTGGCAGCTACGAAAGCGAAGCTTGCGAGCAATTTATAGGTGTGCTGCGTGTGGCTCATAGTACAGTTGGAGTCAGCGTGACATTATTGCAGCAACACAACCGGAGTAGGCGCTTTTGACGGTCTCGAGTCTCAGAGTTCGAAGGGTAGCTGCGAGTTTGCGCACGAGCCTGGACGAGCGCCCCGGTGGGGGCCGAAAATATCGCGCGATCTCGCCTGTATACAACAATGGCCCTCGCAGGGCTGCGGAGTCGAGGGCTGGCGCTGCAGGAAATTACATAACTGTGGAAAATACGCATCGGCCAGTAAGTGAGCAGGTTCTCGGGCACGATCGGGGCGTTTTACGAAAATTTCACGTCGCGAGAAACGATTTCAATTAACGCGAACGTCGAGCATTGGCATCGCGCGTCCCATTGTGTCCCGATCGCTGCAGCGGCCAACAACTTTGCGGCTTTAATTTGCACCAGAGCGCAATTCGCAAAAATTAATTACAACTAGCTGGCTCGATTGGACGAGCGATCCGCGCACAAACTGAAAAGTCAATGCGGCGTCGCGTGTATAGGACTTATTGTACGGCGCATCGCATCTCATTACAATGATCTCGAGCGAGAGAGAGAGAGGAAGTCACCGCGCGTACAGGGAGGATACACCCCGTACAAAAGCCAAGCTTGTGTACATAGCGATGCTCGAGCGCCGAGAGATCGAGAGGGAGAGGCGCTGCCACGAGTCCTTATTGAGAAAAGGGTAGATAAGCTGGGCCGCTCTCTCGCTCTGTCTGTGCGTGTGTCGCGCTGCGGCGGAAATTAAATATGCCAAGCCAACCTCTGCAAGTGTGAGCTCTATTATAGGTACGTGTGCGTGTATACATACGGGGGATAACTGCCAAGGCTGACTTATCTCCTGCCTCGAGCTTTTGCTGCTTCTTTTGTTCGCGGCCTATTCGGCGTTCGGATGATTTTGTAAAGTAGCTGCGCGTCATCGTCTCATGCTCGGAATGGCAATCGCGTTTATTCGGCGATAATTAATCGATGATCGCTACAAACGAGCTTGATCGCCCGAATTCAAAGTGTCAAAGTCGACGCGATCTCGACGCGAGAGGAGAACGTGCGTGGGAAAGTCTCGACTCGGGCTATTTAGCGAGTAAGTTTTTGCAAACAAAAGCCGGCACTCATTGGTCGCCGCTGTTTTTCTTCTTTTCAGCGGTGTAAAAGTGCCGAGTACGTGTGAGAATGGGCTAGCTCAGGAAAAGTCGACATTCGTCGCGGCAGAAATGAGCGTCAATTATATTATGAAGAGAAGAAGAGCAAACGTCATAGTGGCTTTGGTTCTCGATGTTTCCGGCGATTGTCGATCGGCCATCGATTAGATCGACACAGCTCGAGCTACGAAATACATTAACGATCGCTGCCTACATCGTCGTACAACAGCGTCGTCAACAACGACGACGACGACGACGACGACGACGACTATCACGTTAAGTAAATATATAAATGCGTAACTATATAAATGGCAATTATCATAATTGGAATACAATCAATTGAGCGCAGCGAAGGTCAATGCTTGGATCGCGCTTATGCGCAATTGCATTAACATATAATCGACTGGTCGACATCACACGTCGATCGTACAACACGATCCGCATGCGGCTATTATACATAGGAAAAGGGCTCGATGTTATACGCGATCGTCGTCGCTTTGGACTCTCGACGCAGCTCCGCAATATATAATACGAGCTCGGCTGCATCGCGATCGTTGGCCGATACGCACATTATCGTGTAAGTCGAGCTCTCGGGATGCGAAAAGTATTGTGTTACGAAGTATACAACAGCGCGGGGATGTATCGCGATCGATACTATTTTTCGGCGTGCAGATACCGGCGCGCTTATCGTCGCCGCGGCCCGAGGAGGCTAACGCGCGCAGTTAGCTTTTTCATGCGGGGTCAACAAAATAATTAAACCTCGTACACTCGGCTGCGTGTAGCCGGAGCCTAATCCAGCTCTAATAATAAAGTGGGGTGGGTGCACTGCATACGCAGGCAGCCGAGCTAAGTAAAAATGAGCCACGTGCGGGGCTCTCTGTACGTTATATCGCGCCTGTGTATAAAAGGTACGTATAGTAGGTATACACATGCGCCTACGCCGGGCATGATGGATCGTTTGATAAAATCTTTAGCTATTCCATCCCCCTCCGAGTCTCTCGGCTCTGGAGGCGAGATTTACTATTTGCTATATATGTATATAGACTGTGTATCGTGTATAGGCACACAAATCTGGACTCGTGAAATTTCGCTGATCTTTCAATCGGACGCGCGGAGAGATGAAAACGACGCGTTGACTCGATAACGAGGAAATATACAAGCGGGCAAAGCTGCCGAAATTAAGATTAATTTTCGGATAGCGAATACATATGTATGTAGAAGTTATTTTAATAGCTCGGGCTTCGCTGTTGTCGCACGCACGAGCGCGGCCAAATTAATTCGCCAGTCATTATATAGTAAAATTTGGACTTTGTCAGAGCGCGCGGTGCGCTTCAGGCGCATGCATAATTAAGCGAAAGAGACCTTCCGCTGGAATGGCCGAAAAATGATAATTTCGCGACGAGCGATCGACGGCATTATACACATAGGACACACACACACACACTCGTTATCCAATCGCTCGGCTCGATGTTACAATAAATGCACACGGACAACGACGCAGCGTCATTATATAGCACATACATATCGCGTAATCGTTTGCGATTAGTCGCCATCGACAATGGGGAATAATAATCGAGCGGAGGAATCGCGATTTTCGGCCGCTTCGGTAACAAACAAAACAATGAGCCGTGGGACTCGGCAGCGACTCTTTTTTTTTATACTCGCTTTTTTGTCGCTACTGCTGCTGCTCCGGCCCACATGCGTCAGGAAAAAACGACAGAAAAATAAGAAACGCACGCACGCGCTCAGCTCGTGTGTATTAAACATTGTTATTTGATTGTAATGACATGCAAACTGCGCATAATAGCAATAGCCGCGCAGCGACAATCGATACACTCGTTGACCTTTGCTGAACCGCCGCTGCATATTGGGCCAACCGATCAGGCGCGAACAATCAAACACTCGTATACTATAAAAAGCAGCTCGGATTCGAGAAATTATTATTTCTGCTTTAATTTTAAGGCTTCCTTCTCGCTGCGATAACTCCTGCTCGTGTGCAATTAGTCGTCGTGCCGACTAGCTTGCGACGCTCGCTGAAAAGTCGCCTCTTGGAGTGCTGCGGACTTGGGCAAACAATGCGCGCAGGTGGCCGAAAGCGTGAAAATACCTCTCAATGGTCGGCACGAGTCTCTGTGAAATTTAAGCAGCGAGCCTAATGCCATAATGAAAGGCCAATAAGTGCTTTTCTCGCTAAATCGATCGACGAAAAATTAATAAAGTCGAAAAGAAGCTGGAGCTCGCCTCGCTTTCGGACCAGCGCAAAAGAAAAAAGAACGAGGCAAAAGCCAAGAGAGCAAGTAAGCGAAGAAGTAGAGAATGATGGAAGAAAGTTGAGAATAAAGAAAGAGAGTCGAGTGCTGCTGCTGCTGCTGCAGTGAGAGAGAAGACTTGATTTATCGACCAATTAGTCGCGGCCCGCCGCAGTACCCAATGATGCTGCACACTGTATTTCAGATCCGCTGCTCGTCTTTGACTATTTTTCCCCAACTCGAGGCTCCGTATGACGAAATAAAATAAAAGTAAGAAGCTTCCGTGGAGGCAAAAACGCCGACGCCGCTCCACTGTGCACAGGCCAATGTATATGCGCGCTCGCTACCGCAAACGGAAGAGACATTTTCAAGTGCAGTCGATACACTTTGACATCGGATGAAAATGTCTGTACTCGCCTCCGCGCACAGATACACGAGTGCTGCGCTCTCATACATATATACTGCTCTCGGCTCGGCTATGCCGGAAAGTCGAAAAAAAAAAACGTCGGGGGAAAAACTCGAGAGCTGGATGCCTTTCTCTCGTATAGCTGCGCAGCAGCACTAGCAGAGGGAGAGACGTTAATTGGACTCGACTAGATTGCTTATTAGCGGCTAATCGAAATACTCTATACTCGGCGACGTCTTAATTTTCTCTCTCTCTCTCTTAAAGTTTCTCTTATCGCAAATTTTATGTCACGTCGTTAAACGCGTTCGCGTTTACGCCGAGTTTTTTTTTCGTTCGCGCTCTGTGCACTCGCTCCAAGACGGCTAGTTCGCGCTTCGTCGGTAATTATTTTATTGTTCGACCAATGTGTCACGATTTTCAAATGACCTCGATTCCGAGTGTAAAAATCATTTGGAAGCTTTTAACGAATTAACTCGATGAATTCTCTGGACAAAATGAAATCAAGCGACATCTACCAGTGGTGGCAACTCGTTTCATTGTATGTGCAGCATTATGAGCTTGGCTCGAGAATTTTTAGCTATGACATAGCATTCGTCGGTCAGACAATTTCGGTACAGTCGGTAATTCGAAAAACTTATAGCATCAGCCAACACAAAATTATGATCATAACTACTGCTGATCATGCACACGATTAATTAATAAAATACGTAAGCAGTATCTTGATTTTTAATTAAAAATATATCATTGCTAGACACTTACACAGTTCAAACATTTTCTCTTCATCCATTTCTGGTCAATTAATGTGTCTGATAAAAAATTTGTTCATGAAATGAAATTTCGTGCAACGGTCCCACATATGTTAGTAGAAAGTTTATTAGATTTTTACAAATAATGTAGAAAAAAAATGTACACAGTTGCTTCTCACTCATCATATACTATGCTATATTATAAATTGAATCATCATCAAATACAAAGTTGTATTATAGTCACATTCGAGTATATCTGCTCAATTTTTTAGTTATCGGATCAAAAATAAAATTGAAGTAACACCGTAAATATAAAATATTGAATTTCAATCATCATGAAAACACGACGCAAATCAATCATATAATATAATGCTTTTATCTTTATGCATGATTCATTGACTGACTATTACATCACAATAATCAATTCTTACTTTTAGATATTACACAAAAAATGTATCAAAAAATTACCTAACTAATTTGTCTAATAACAAGTAACAGTCCGTTTTCAATTCTAAAGGCAAAAATTTTTATTTGTGACTGATAGTATTTTTCTCAGATTAAAACTTAAAATTCATGGCAAAATCTGCTTTACCAATAGGTAAAAATTATAAAAAAATGTATGATTGATGCATATAGTTTTCTTCATTATTGATAATCAACAATAAATCAGCAAGCAATACAATAAGAAATAGTTACAATATTATTTATTTTTCAGACAGCTTTGTATACCCAAGAAAAATACTTGGAAGTTCATTTGTCACTCGTTCATTTAAAATAATGATCCAGCATCAATCCGTGACAAGACATGATTTTCACAATTAATTTTACTATAAATGCTAGACATGGAGTTCATAAATTTACTTATGTACTAATGGTCTAGAACTTTTTAATTCTTTTTTTGTTTTTTGTTTACTTGATTTTTAGCTGGTTGTTTGGTTTTCCTCTTCTTGGGTTCTTCGATCTCCTCCTCATCTTCATCCTCCTCCTTTCAAGGAAAACAAATTTGGTTTATTTAATGTTAAAAAATTAATAGTAAAATTTTCAGTCAACTATTTGAAAATATAATTATTAGTTTGAAAGTCTCAATGAGTTTGAAAATGATTTATGTGCCCAAATGTAAGAGAAAAGAAAACCATCATCAATCCATTTACACGACAGTTTATTAAATAAAACTACGTAACTTTTTTAAGTACGTATACACAAAATAGACAAGCAAAAACATGGATGTAATAAATAATGACATATGAATACTGATTTTTATAAAATTAGATAAATCGTTGATACGAAAGATAAAAATTCTAAATTATATCAATAAAACACTATCACTTTTCTACACCATCTTCTATCTTAGAGCGTTTGGTGCCATTTTTTTTAATTTCTGAATTGACTTTTCTTTTCTTATTATTCTGTTCCTGAAAGTTTTATGAACATTGATTTCTAAGAAAAACTATTTCTACCATAAACTAATTTAGGAACTTTTCTATTTTTGACAAACAATGAAAAAATGTAAAAAAAAAATTTATTATAAAGTTTATAGAGCCAGGGCAAAACGAAAAACTGTAACTCTAAATTATTTCACCCTAATAATAAAATTTTATTTTTATAGTAATATGTAAACATGAAATGAATTGGAATCTAAATACTAAGAATGCTTGTTTTGCCTCTTCTATAATTTTTTTACAACATTGACAAACAATACAAGTATAAATAGTATAAATATTATACCTTATCGTCCTTTTCATCATCTTCATCGTCGTAGTCGTTAACTTCAACTTCTTCTTCGTCAACATCTTCATATTCATCAAGGTTGTTAGCTGTTAGTTTAGATAATATCAAAAATTTATAAAAAAAATATTTTTTTATAACTAACTTAAAACTTAAAAACTCTACATACCTAATAAATTGTGGCCAACAATGTGCACTGGACCACTACCAGAGATAAGTTCAAAGGTAACTGGCGAGTCTGGAATACTCAAGTCTAAAAGTATTTGTGGGCATTTACCCATTTCCAAAATGGCAATGGGAGTCTTAAATTTGCCTTTTAGACCCATGGCTTCAATTTGAACAATGTTCTGTTCTCCAACTTTAGCATCTTTTCCCAAGATAACCTATTAGAAAAGTACATGTTTTATAGGTACATGAAATAACTTACATGAATATGATTTAAGTTTTACATTGATTGGATAATGAAAAAAATATATTGAGAAACTGCATTATATGATCCATAGAAAAGCTACTCACCATCTTTACGATAAGTTTTTGGTCAACTCCAAAGTTCTGGTCTTCACCATCTTCTTCATTTTGTTCGGGTTGAGGATCCCAATGTTCTTTGGTCTTGTCCTGGTTCAATTCAATAGCTGTAAGATAAAATTATTAATTGATGAATCAACTGATTTATAGGTGTCATTTTTATACGACATAATTTTCCACGTGGCGAGTGGAACGTAAATTTAGAAATCGAAAATTTAATCATGATTGAAAAGCATGTTCGAAATACCATGCTGAGAAATACTATTGATAAAGCACAATGGCTGTACAGCGTGCAAAGTGAAAAGAGCGGTATGCCTGCCGGCGTCTTCGGAATTGTTTAAAAACGTTGAAAGTAAGGTTAATGATTATAAAATGTTCACGCTATGCAATAGTCAAGTAGAATTGGTAATAAACTTACAGAAAAGGTATTCTTCAGCCATGGTGATTAATATGATTTTAATGGATGAAATAAAATGGTAATCGATTAGCTTCGCTCGAGATGCAGAATGGTTGTGAGGTAAAAGCGTGGCTTGAGTTCTTGGGGGATTATTCTTGGGCCTAGCGCACTCTATACGGCTGCGTAAGGTAACACGAGGGCTTTAGCGACATCTACTTTACAGTCGGCGCTTCGACCAATCGTAATTCGTAATTCGTATTTCGTACTATAACTACGGTCTCGATGTGCGCCTGTGTACAACAGAGAACGTCAAAAGTTGCGCGCGCACAAGAAATGCACGTGCTACGTCCGGCTATATGAATTTACGATTTTTATTGAGACGATGATTAAATTTCTTTAGTTATCTCTGGTCCACATGCAGTGGCACAGCATTCCACAACTGCACATCCTCTGGCTGAAATTCCTGCGTCTGCGTCTCATTATTGGTGAGTAAATGATTTTTTTTTCTATAATTTATCAAAAAAATAGCGCTGGTGTGACATGAACGAAGAAGAGAATTTTTAAATATCAGCAATCAATGCATATGAAATCATAGAAAATTACTCTCAATATAGCCTCTGTCAGGTTTTCTATTTTTTTTTGTCTTTTTAATTTGGGAACTGAGTTATTTTCCCTTTATTTAGAAATGTGATTGAAAAATGTATGAAGTTAAGCATGCATGAAACGCGTTAATTCGATATTTAATACTCATAATAAGGCTAATTCGAGTAATTTCTCGATATATCGATATAAACGTCATCTGCTATATACAAGTCAGCAACGAATGTCGTAGGCATGTCTAAATCAAGCTGCGAACATATCGCAAAAGTTAATGTGTACTAATGCATATGCGCACGAGACAGAGACACATGAGAAACGTCGAATCAGCGCATGCCGATAGAGTCCAAAAATATTTCGCGATCTCAATAGTGTACTGTTGTGTTGTCTTTCGACTGTCGTGGACAATTGTATTGTCAGAATCTTTGTTGATCAAACTAAGAAAAATCAGAACTCATTCATTCAATGTCTCTTTGATGCACCGTCGACCTCTTTTTTCGGAGTAAGTATAAGTTCTTTGTCTTTCGAATATGAGATACGACAAATTATATTTCAACCATTGCCTTGTCTTGTTCATCAAGCAGATGAAAAACAATGCATGAAATAGTCGTTCTACATCCGTTTTCTCGCGAAACTTTTCATAATTTTCTTCACGTCAAATGTACCATGCACGTGGCTATTAGCCAATGTGAAAGATGAAATTAAATGATTCATCTTTGACCATCTAAGAGTATGTATGAAAACTTGAGAGCAACAAGTTACATATCTATACCGTATATGGCCGACTTTTCGGCTCTTGAAGAAAATCCACTTGGTACGTTGGATTTGATTCTCATAACTAGTTCAAAAATTAAAACATACATGCGTGAAATCGTGAATGGTAATGCAACTTTCTTTACTACAAATTATCCATTTATTTATAACATGAAAGTGCATGTTCAACAATCAAATTTTGTATTGTTCAAAAAAAGGTATTTTGATTTTTAATCTCTTCAATAGAATTTCAAATTAATTTTGCATTTTATTTGGTACAATACTTTTTTGTATATTAAAAAATTAACTATTTCAGAAAAAGAATTTTTTATAACTCGGTTGTGAATTGTCATAACATTTAATTTAAATTTCTTGTAATATACTGATTCACTCAAGAAGCTTGTTATTTTTCCAGACAACTCTGCAATTAAATTGTTATTGACTAATTTACACAATGGACGAAGAAGAATGTTGGGATCCTGTTGAAAAAACAGATGAAGTACCACAATCAGCACCAACTCAAGTTGGTTCACTTTCATTAAAACGGTCTGAATGTTACAAATACAGTTATGAAGCTAAAAATAGCCCTGCGAATATTGAAGATTGGGCAGAACCACCTACCTTTGGAACCACCAGAAATAATCTTTTTAGTGGTTTTAATTCAAGAAATTCATTCAACCAAGAAGGTGGTAAACCAATCAGAACAAGGGATGAAGATCGGTCTGACAGAAGGTATAATCTTCATTTTAACTGAAATTAATTTTCCTTCCTTAAAATATGACTTAAATTGACAAATATTTTACAGGTTTAATCCAATGAAGTCAAATGGCTTTAAATCATCTAATTCAAATAAATTTTCTGACTGGCCACCTGTTCCTCAAGACTGGGATGCACCTAAAGATACTAATCCAATCACAGAATCTTGGGATGATCCTCCTGTAAATAACTCTAAATCCAATGCTTTAAATACTGAAGAAAGCTGGGACGATGATGCAAGTGCCCCTGCTACTTCAGCGCCAATAATACCAATGTTTGTACCTGGTAGCTCTCTTGACAATTCTGTAAATAGTCAAAAAGGATCAATGCAGTCACCTACTCCAAAGCAGCCTGCAACACCCTCGTTCAATTCTAATCAAACATCTAATAATGAAGAAAATTGGGATGACGAACCAAGTTCCTTCGAAAAACCGGCAGAAATACCTACATTTACCCCAACACCAATCAAAACGAATTTTCAAAATAATAGTAATGATGATAATTGGGATGATGAACCAAGCTCTTTTGATAAACCTGCAGAAATACCAACATTTACCCCTGCACCAATTAAGACAAATTTTCAAAATAATGGTCATGATAATTGGAATGAATCCAACAATAGTTTGAATAAATCAGTCCCTACATTGAATAATTCATCAAAAAATTCAATGGAAGAAAGTTGGGATGATGAAGAACCTTCTCTTAATCAATCGGCTACTTCTGCTGATCTTCCTTTCTTCCAACCTAATGCATCAAGTAATGATTCAGCTAATGCAAAAGACCAAGATGATCTTTTCCCATCTTCAGTAGGCTTTGGAAGTACTAATGGTGAAGATAGTTTTAGCAGTGGAAGATCATTCAATTCTAACAGACAAGGCAATCGAAGTTTTGATTCTGATAGAGGTGGTCGCAGTTACAATTCGGGAAGACATAATCGAGACTTCAAAGATCCTTTTGTTAGAGATTCTCGTGATAATAGGTACGCTAAGTAATAATATTTAATAAATTTTGAATTGTATAAAGCTGATAGTTGTTATTTTAGATTTAAGGCTTATGATAAACAAGATAGAGGTGATTGGCGTGGTGGTAGAGGTGGCAGAGGTGGAAGAGGTGGAAGAGGTGGTCGAGGTGGTAGAGGTGGTTATGGAAGAGACAGAGATAGTTATGGCTCATCTTATAATCCACGAGGCAATGATAGTTGGGGTGGTAAATCATTTGAACAAAGCTCAACTTTTCCTCCCCTTGCCTCTACTTCATTTAATTCTGAAGAAAATTGGGATAATGATTTGAATGAAACCACAAAAACATCTGATTCAAGTGGTGTTTCATCTGGTCCAACTGGATTATCTTTTGTAAGTTTCAAGATTATAGAAATATTTTAAAAAAATCATTAACCAACCTTATAATTATATGAATTTTAGACTCTACCACCAGTACATACTCCAGTACAAGAAAATACTGAATCGTGGGATTAAACTATGATTAGATACTCTGTAAGCGGACATTGAAATTTTGTATGCAAAAATTGATCTTATTACTAGTGACGTTAGTATTTTAAAGATACAAAAATCCTAAGGTTGTCAATTGATATTTCATTTGAAAACAGAGAAAGCGAATGATCTTGAATGCCTGTAACAAAGAAATTTGAGTATCACTTCTTCAAGAGCTTATTCATAATCTTTTCTTGCACCAGATGGTTGAGATTTCTATTTTTATGATATTTAAAAATTGTTACTAAATATCTGACATAAAAATTAGTATGTTAGATATAGAAAAAAATTTAAGAAAAAATGACAAATTATTTAGAATGATTAAGTGCAGATAATCTATGATCTTATCATTTTGAGAATGATATTGAAATAATGTTGAACCTCAAAATGCTAATTTTTTGAGTAGAATCAAGACAACAACAACAGTAAAAAAGTATTTTCTATAAATATTTAATAAAACCATAGTCATATTTACATTTTGTATCGTAACAATATTTTCTATCAACATATAATATTCAATGTACCATACAGAAATGATGTACTAGTTGTATATGTGTCAAATTATAAATATACATATTTTTTCATGATTATGAATTCATTGGTAAATCCATTTAACAAAGAATGTAAGAAAAGAATTAACAAAATAAAATTGTTAAACTACTTAAATTTGTGAATAATTACTATTTTAAATACATTTGTGGTAGAAATTGTCTCACTCTTGCAACACAGTTTATGTACATGTAGAGATTCACATCATCTATCTACAAAATTTCATTCTAATCATTATTTTACACAATTTATTTTGTGCAAAGTTCAATAATTCAATATTTGATACACACAAAATTTATCAATCCAAAATGATTTGCTTCTACTCTAAAATATTTTGTTACACACACTTAGCTTGGAAAAAGAACTCGAGTATTAATTTTAATTTTTTTAAAGTGCTCCAAAATGATTAAATAATCATAAGCATTAAATTACGATCAAAATTAATGTGCTGTAAACATTTTTTAAATAGAGTTTTGAACAAAGATTTAATTTAGAGAAATAGAATTTTAAATTCAAATAAAGCAATGCTGTCAGATATTTGATTCGTATTTGTAATTGAACATTTTTTGATTGCACGTTTTAAAGATCAATTCGTGGTCTATATTGTAATCTTAGTGGTGGGTCATGGAACCTCCATCTTGTAACATAGACAAACTTTAAAGTATGATCTTTTCCTAGTAATTCATTATTACAGAGAATATCAATCTGTAATTTAAAAAGTATAATTTAATTACCTTAGAACGAAATATGTATGAAGTAAATTTAAATAATACATACATCACGATACTTTTCAATGCCACTTAGAACTTTTTTGGCTATGAATTTTTTGAGGTGCGTTATTGTTGCTTGGGCAGAACATCTAATAAATCCTCTCTTCAAAGTTTGCAAACTAGCATTTATACATTCCAAACAAACATTCACCTGAAAAGTATGAGAAAGAAAAAATGAAAACATTCGTTTTTCAAAATGTAAAAAGATTAATCAATTAGAATATGAACCTGTTCATCTGTCCTGTGGTAATCAGATGCTGCATGTGCATCTTCATTAGCTTTCTGGTCTTCGCTTTCTCCAAGATTTGTAAGGGTATCTTTAGGGTAAGGCAAGCCCCTAGACCTATAAAACTCTCTTTCTCTCTTGGTTTCATCTAGGGAAATCATTTAGATATTATAGGTATTAGTTTGTAATACTTATTAGTATTTAATCATACTTACTTTCTTGCAGATCAGGAACTAACTTATAAACAATATCTTGCATCGTCCTATCAAAACTTATATATTGAAGTGGATGAGATTGATGAATGACTATTTGGCATTGCGGACAAGTATTTTTTTCATCTAGATGTTTGACTAGACAGCTTTTGCAGAAAGTGTGCAAACATTCTGTCACGGTCGTAGCATCAATGAGGTAACCTCGACATATTTTGCAAGTTATATGGCTGTTGAGCGTCTTTAGTTTGATTTTTCTCTCCATCGTGATTTGTAATGGTGTATAAGAACTCCGATACTATCACTGAATGATGCGATTCATGAGTGATTTACGACGAACTGCAAAGATCAGTGCGCTAAAAGCGCAACTGATCTTGATTTCTGAAGGTAAATCAACACATTTGACGTTCACAGATATACACTCGATTAATTGTTCCTTATATTATTAAGTCACAGTTGAAGAAGCAGATTTGTTTTCATGAAATGAGCGATCGTCAGCGAGAAAAAAGCTGCATCGTTACACAGACAGGTGCGAAAAGCCGAAGAAAATGTGAGTCTTGAGTTGACGATGATCCTAACCTCAAGGAAAACTGCAGAAAGCACTCGAGCGAACTTGAGAAAACGATAATTGTAAACGCAATAATGAAGTAAACAGGGACTGTTTAATGAAAAAAGCCAAGCTGGATCATTCGATCGGCCCACTTACTCGCGCATTTGACAGGGGTCAGTCAATGAAATGCCCGATAGCATAGTACGCGACTACGGCACATACGATGTGGCAGAACACGTATGACAACAACAGCGAATGCCAATCTCGGAGCACATTACTTTATGATGTGTAGCAGTGCGCCCTCTCTCAGGCTCTCCGCTGCATTTTCGCTTCTATTCCACGCGTATGTTTATATGATACGTTCCCATTGACCTTACTTGCATGTGCTTTCATAGACCAGCAGAAAACGGTTTACGGAAAATGTTGATTTGGCTAAAAGTCAAATTTGTATTATTGTTTTATAGTTTATACATTGCACGAGGACATATCATCTGCATCGTCATGGATAAAAATAAAAGCACGCATCTGCATGAATTACAAAATTATTCGATTTATTTTGTTGTTGTGATTATTGACAAGTCCAATAAGGTTTTTAAATGCTAATTAAAGATTGCTTACGAGCTAAGAAATTACCTCAGCTAATTAGGCTTAACTGTTAATTAATTGCACCGAGGCTCGGTGCGATAATTTATACAATCGTTTAAACGTATTATTTACAAATGTTTTCGATCTCGTAAGAGCATAGACACACGATGTCGTTACAAGATCATTATGTGCGGACGATTTATACAGTAGGACGATTTGAACTTTCTCCGTAGTAAACGTCATAAGACGTAATATTATAATTACAATTTAATAGTACATGTATAATAGCACTTGAAACATTATTTTGGTTTTTATTTCTCGATGACATATTTGAATGCCTCGATTCCGACCACAATTATCATTCATATAATGCTATGCAAACTATATTGTATCATTTCAAAGACTGTCCAAAGGACCATCTTTGATAATTATTCACTGTAATATGCTGCCCTGCCAACAGGACATACAAACTTTTAAAAGATTTTGAATTCAAATCATTGCCAAATTAATTAATCTCCTATCGTGTAATGTACATGTGTGATTCTTAAAAAATATCTTTTTCATTTGGCTGTTACAAGTTTTCGGCAATTTAAATTCAACATTTTACTTTACACTAACTAAATATATCGATAAAATTTTTACATTATTCATAAGATTATACATAATGATGATTGCTTTTTTACATAAATTATAAAGTATATGTATAAAGGCACTTGACGACATGCGCGCGCGTCTGTGATATGTATATAACATGTCGCGTAATCGTTGTTAGTGTTTCACGTGATTGACTAGTTGAAAACACATAGAGCTAAAAGTATTATTGAAAACGAACATAGATAATGATAAAAAAATATACACAAGTGACATTCGAGTCAATCGGCTATCCATTCACGAGCAATGTACAAAATGATTAGGGTGCATGGACGTCTTTCTCTCTTTGGGCATGGGCAAAATTTACACGAGATTCCTGGGGAAGGAGAACTTTTTGGCACCGGTGAGATTGTCGTTCTCGTCCTCGTCGTGCTCGTCGTCGTCGTAGTTGTCCTCGGCCTCGCTCGACTCTTGGCTACTCGGTGGGGTGTCGAGCTGCGGCAGGCCGAGGTCCAGGTACTCCTCGTTGGCCGTCACCGTGAGTATCTTGTCGAGCTCCTCGACGAGCTCGGCGAAGACCGGCCTCTCCTCGGCCTGGTACTTCCAGCAGTCGCGCATCACGCAGTACATCTCGATCGAGCAGCAGGACGGCTTCTCCATGCGGATGCCGGACTTGAGCAGCTGGAAGAGCGTCTCGACCGACGGCACCGACGGGTACGGGGTGCCGCCCAGCGTCATTATCTCCCACAGCAGGACGCCAAAGGACCACCTGTTGATGTTTATGTCAAAATTAATTACGTATTTTATAAGTGGATCGATCGAAACGATAAAATAAGAAAAAGTCAACTCACACGTCCGACTGACTGGTGTAGAGGCGCTTGAACAGAGCCTCCGGAGCCATCCACTTGACGGGCAGCCGGCCATCGGTGGTCTTCCTGTAGTAGTCGTGAGAGTTGATGTCTCGGGCGAGGCCAAAGTCGGCGATCTTGAGTACGTACTCCTCGCTGACGAGGACGTTCCTGGCGGCGAGGTCCCGGTGGATGCAGCGCCTGCTGGCCAGGTACTCCATGCCGCGGGCCACCTGGTAGGCGAAGGAGACGAGGTCCTTCTGGGTGAGGGCCTTCTTGCCGGTGAGCGGGTCGTAGGGGCTGGCGACCCGGTGCTCCCTGAGGAAGTCGCGCAGATTGCCGTGGGGCGCGAACTCGACCACGACGAAGAGCGGCCCGTCCTGGGTGCAGGCGCCGAGCAGGTTGATGATGTTCATGTGCTTGCCGATGACCTTCATCATCTCCATCTCGGAGACGAGGTCCATCATCTCGGCGTCGGTGTGGCCCTCCTTGAGCATCTTGACGGCCACGACGAGGCTCTTGCTGCCGAATTTGCCGGGCCGGGTGGTGGCCTTGACGACCTTGCCGAAGGCCCCCTCGCCGAGGGTCTTGCCGAGAACGAGCTCCTCCCGCGAGAGCTCCCAGTGGCTGTCGAGCGGCAGCTCGTACTCGCTTATGCCCGTGGAGGCCGAGGCCTCGCAGTCGCCGAGCAGCTGCATCTTCTGCTTCTCGATCTTGACGACGGGCAGCGAGAGGCTCTCGGAGCTCTGCTGCTGGTTGAGCTGCTGCGAGGCCAGCTCGTCGGCCCGCTCGATTATCACCTTCTTGGTCCACTGGGTGATGACGGTGGCCCGGGCCGTCTCCTTGGCCAGCATCTTCTTGATCTTTTGCCGCTTGAGCCTCTGGTACGAGTAGACGGCTATCACCATTCCGAAGGCGATCGAGCCCATGAGCACCGCCACGAGGATCGTCGTCGTCATCCCCTGGTTGTGCACCACTATCGGCATTCCCTGCACTTCGTCCATGGCTATAAGAAATAACGAATCGAAACGGTGAGCTCTGGTTCTTTTCGCTCTAGGTAATATTAAGTGGATTCGAGAGTATACTCACAGTCGACGACGCGAAGATAGGCGCTGCTGAAGGCGTAGCCCATGGCGTTGCCGGCGACGCACGTGTACCAGCCCTCGTCGTGATGGGTGAGATTCTGAATCTCGAGAACATTGAGGTCGTTGAGGTCGGCGGTGCCGGGCTTCGTCTCGACTCGGGCGCTGTCGTTGGTCTTGTTGAGCGTGTCGAGCGAGTCGTGGTAGCCGTGGTACCACTCGAGGTGCACGTGCGACTCCGACAGGACGATGCAGGTGAAGTTCATGCTGCCGCCCAGCAGGGCCGTCGTGTTGACCAGTGGGATCGTCAGGATCGGCTCGGCCTGTATGCTCGCTAAAGACCATTGACAAAGGAGACGATTATTAGCTTCGATCGCCTTCGATGTGACACTTTATCGTTATAATTTCTATATACGCACCGACGATGTCGACGTTGACGGTGTGCTCGACACAGCCGGCGGCGTTGCACAGTCTACAGGTGTAGTTGCCCTTGTCGCCGAGGACCGTCGTCTCCTTGCGCAGTCCCCACTTGTTGAACTTGCCGAAGCCCTGGGTGCGGTTCAGCTCCTCCGAGTTCTTGTACCAAGTTATGTTGGCTTGGGGGTGCGTCGAGCTCGGGCACTTGAGCTTCAGCACGCTGCCGGCGGGTATGACCTCGATCTGCGGCAGATCGCCGCTCAGCTGAGGCAACGACGCGTCTTGCTCGGCCGCCAAGGAGCCCTCCAGGCCCGAGTCCATGTGCAGAGCCCGCACCTCCGGCATCTCTGTAATTTCGATCGCGATCCGCGTGAATAAAACTGCTCAGCTCCGTGGAACAAAAAAAAATGGTCCTCCGCGATTACTCACCTCTGAGCTCGGCCTGGAGCGGCTCGTCGGTGTCGGGCGCGGCTCTCATGGCCCCCTGCGCCAAGCCAAGCGAGTCGTTGCTCTCCTCGTTGAATATGTCCCGGTACTCCTGATCGTTGAGCTCGGACTCGACTTGGAGCCCGAGACTGCGTCGCTCGACGACGTCGCCATTCGGCTGCTCGACTTGGCAGACGTACTCGGCCGAGTCGATGGGCTTGGCGGCCCGGAAGCGTATCCGCTGCTTCTGCACCCGGACCCGGCCCGAGCTCGACTGCAGCGCTTGGCCGTTCTTGTACCAGGTGACGGTGGAGTTGGGCCTCTTCAACGGGCAAATCAGGCTGAACTGATCGCCGTTGTACACCGTCGCGTTGCCGTTCGACTCGTTCTCTGCAGAAGCCAAATAGAATTAGGAAAAAAAATGGCAATATAGCAACGAAGCTAGAGTCGCAGCGCGCCCACGCACTTGTGTAGGTAGCAGCTACGTTTAACGTAAATATAATAATATTATGGGTATGGCCGATGTATGTAGAAAAAGCTAATAAGCGCGCCAAGTTGGACGGCTGCCAGTGGCGGTGTCGTCGTAGTCGCTCGCGCGCGTCGGACGTGTACTTCCGCTGCTCGACGAAGCTAGCCGCGAGAAATTAATATATTTATGAAAATACGTTCGTCGAATCGATTATCGCGCGTCGGACCAGCTACGCACGTAGCGATCGGTGTCGCTGCGGCGGCTATATATATACGCATGTGGAAAATTCGCTCCTCGACGATTGGCTTTTGTGATTTTAGTAATGCCAGCCCCCGCGCGCGATAGCCCTGGGAAAAAACGACGTCTCGTACATGTACTTGTTGCTGCTGCGTTGACTCGTTGGATAAATAAAGTCACGAAAATCCACTTGCAGCGGATAGGAGCTACTAATATGGGCCGCGGCGCTCGTTCGCGTATATACGCTCGCAGCTCGTCGCGTCATTCCATTGGAACGTGAAACTTTGCTGTGTACGTTGAGCTATTGGGGATATTGGGAGCGATCGAGCACGTTGCAGCAGCAGCCGCCCGCAAACAAACAAACAAAATAAACGGATGGATGAAAACTAACACGTGCAGCCGCGGACGCTTCGATTTCAACTTCGTCTTAAACTTTGAGCGCTTTTCTCAAAATTTCATCTATCGACCAGCAGCAGCAGCAGCAACAGCAGCAGCACTCATGGTATCGAATGGCATTTCTTGTAGTATAGCCAAGGCAGGTTGCGCAATTTGCTCTAGATTTCCTCTTAATCGTTGGATTAACGAAACTTCCGACATGGGGACGGATAGCGAGCTTATACAGCTATAACATCGACGCAGAGAACGGGCCCGACTTTGCTAATTTAGTCAAATGGATTTAATAATACACAAAAGATTTTATTACGCTCTTTCATTAGTTCCCATGATGAAAATCGGAGGATGTTTATTTAAAACTGCGCGTGATCGTGCCTTTATATTTACTCGCTCTCTCTCTCTCTTACTCGATTATAATGGCTCTCGTATATAGGCAGTACAGACGCAGCAAAGTCACAAGAGCATTCGATGACCCGTTCGACGCAATTGAACAATTGAGCTCAATCATAACAATGATAATAGGCTGCGCGCAACGCATGTACACATTGGAGTCTCTAAAAACCCGCGCTAATCTTTCATTTCTCCGTGTTGTCTTCCTCCTCGAGCCGTTCGCGTAGCCGCCCTTTCCGACTGCTGCGCTGTACTGCTACTGTTTGCTCTCGAGTCAGTTCTTTTTTTTTTATTTCTTTTTTGCACAGGCCGCGCGCGCGCGCGTCTAAAACCAACTATATATAGCTGCGGGGCACGAAGAGCTTCTGGCTCGGATCGCTGTACAGTGTCTCTCTGTCTGTAAACACGCCGGATCATTATACGGTAGCGGAGATGGCTCGAATACACTTATCTGGCGAGATTTACGAGGATCAGTTGGAGATTTGTTGGTCAATGAACCAATGCGAAGAAAACGACTCTTTTTCGATACGAAAACCAGGGACAAAAAGAGAGAAACGCGTGCGGAATTTCGCCGATTTTTCACTTTGTCGAAGCAACGTCGACTCGCGCGACGACGACGACGACGACGACGCAGCCCGAGCTTGCCAAAGCCGAAGCTGCGAAAAGTGTATATAATTCTAAAATTATCTCGGGGAACGCGCGCGCGTGCGTCTGTATATTTTTTTGCTATAAACGATGTAAAAAAAAAAAAAAAACGAGTAAGAGAGTAAAGAAGGAGATGCGGGGAGATGTCGTAAAATGCAGCACGTGTAACGTCGACAGTTTGAAATCTCTGCTCGCCAGATGTGGCCGCTCTTTCTTCCTTCCTCCGCTGGCTCATTTGGACGCGCGTACGCGTACTTTTCGTAGCGTACGTTGTAGGAGCAGGCGCAGGACATTATACAGCACACATGCGAATTCGAAACGACCCTGCACATGACGACGTAGAGAGTGTGTCGCGACCAAGATTACGCTCAACCGCCAGCTTATCTGGTCGTTGGACGAGCCGAGTACCTGCCGACTGCGACGACGATCGCGATTCGCCTTTTCCAACGCGTCTACTATAAGCTACCGAGCTGACTTGCTTATTATTGCTGCACAGCCAATATAACTGTCTAACCGCTTGTTTTTCTCTCGCTCGCTCCCTCGGCTAAGATAAATATATAATATTCGCGTCGGTGTAGGAGGATCGAGACTCCAAGATGAGGAGGAGGAGGGGGAGGGCAGGGAGCGTCTGGAGCGCGTCAGTCGTTTTGGCCGTTTTGTCGCTGCTCGTTACTCGTTACTTACCGAGCTTGACTTGTCGCGCCGCTTGGGCAGGCTCGCCGAGGAGCGTCAGCGCTACCAGCAAGACACCAAAGATCGTCGTCGCCGTCGTCCACGGACTGCAGCAGCTTCTCCTTATCGGCGACATTGCATTCGATCGGTGCTCTATGCGTGATCGTCAGCGAGGTTCGGTAGCTCGTGCGTGTCAGTGCATCTCCTGCGTGATGCGTTCGAAACGCGCTCTGAAACACAACAAGTTCGACAAAGAGATGAGCGAATTTATTCGGCGAAAATCGAGTGCGCGCGAGATGCACGGATTTTTGATATTTTGGCTCGCAGCCAGTATGCAACTGGTGCAAGTATGCAACGCCGAGAGAGAGCCTCGAGGCCGCGAGCGCACTACTTTTAGACATCGCCAGCGCGCACGACTGCAGTTTATAATGCGCTTTTCCTGCACGGAGAGCTCGTGCGCCGAATTTACCCGCCATCGGCTCGAACGCCGATGAATCTTATCGGTGCGTTAAAGCCTCTCTCTCTCTTTTTAGCGAGCGCAATTTCGCCTTTTACACAGCTCCGGCTTATAAAACGCGAGGAGAGGACGGCCGCGAGATGAAGATAAGCATGAATGAACTTTGTGTTACGGGCAGCGTTCTCTTCTGCCATGCTCGTCTCCTCTATGTATGTATATATCGCCTCGATGAAATTGCACAAAGAATAACGAGGCGTAACGAGGGCCGGAAAGAAGCAGCAGCGCGTCGAAAAAACTCAGCTCGGAATTCCTCAAATTTCGGACGCGCATCGGATTGTCCATCTCAAACTCGGACGAATCGACGACGAGCCCTCGACGATCGAGCATGGAAAGAGGCAAGATTTGCGCGCCTATTTTTTCCGAGCGAGAATGCAACCGAGCGCAGCTCGAGTCGAGCCGACTGCGCCACGTATCCGCTATGATCGGCTGTAATGAACAGTTTCCTGACACATCCGCTCTCTCTCTTTCGCTCGCTCGCTCTCACTTACTTGCTCTCTAGAGTTTAGTTTGTTATAATCCCAGAGTTCCTTCTTCATCTTAATATCATCTCTTTTTTTCTTTCTCTCTCTCTCTCATTCTCTTTTATATCAATTTATTGAGCATAAATATACAATTTAATAATGTGCATGGGAACAAGTGCTATATTTGAATATAAGCCCTGGCAAAAACCAAGTTGATTTACGATGAAAGACCGCAGTGAGCAAGAGAGAGAGAGTAAAAGCGAAAGATAAAAGAATAATATGTAAAAGGAATAATTGCTATTAGATTGGGGCAGAGAAGTATATGAGTAGAATAAAGGAGCGACGTGATTTTCAAAAAGGCCCCTATATATGCACTCCATTACAATAGGCATGATTAATGGGGGATGTATTATCATGTGTGTACACATAACTGCTGGACGATTGTTCAGCCAGGCACATTATACGAGAGATAGTTGGGATTTTCGTTGGATTTTTTTACTCGTATCGAGAGCCTACGCAGACCGCAGCTACATCAAGACATTAGCTAAATTGTCTTAACGATGTGCATGTGCTTATAATTTATCCAGGCATGTAACGTGCTATGGCGCTGTAATATAGACAGAAGCAGTGCTTATATAAACGAGCGCGATAACGATCAGAAGAGGTCTGCATTTCATTCGGCGCGAAAAATCAGCGCTTTTTCCGGAAGCAAACGCTCGTTGTACACGGACTTGACATTGTCCATACGCGCGATCGCGAGGCGAAAAAAAGCAGGGCCGCGTCCAATGGATTATCCATTGGGCAGATGCGATCGGTACGTTGCACGTCGAGAGAGATTTTCCCTCCGAATCGACGACGAGATACATGGCATTATTATAATTAAATTGTCTCTCTTTGGTCTGTAGCGCGCTCAAGCAGAGTAGCGAGTCGCTCGAGAGTGGCTCGAAATTTATGTTACGCGCATTTACAACGAGGTCACGTTATTGTATTATAGGATCGCTGCAGAGTCTCTCTCTCTCTCTCTCTCTCTTGCTCGGTGCGTATACTGTCTCTGGCTCCGGCGTAGCGCAAATTGACCCGATAAACGAGGACGAGTGATTGAAGCTGCTCTTCGCAGTCCCCATGAATTTCGCGCGCGTTTTTATTTCTCAGAGAGATCAATTCGACGTAATGATCATCGAGCGACGAGTGAAGGTAGCTACTGCACAACAGATTCGTACGAATGACTCGGTCGAATTAAAAACAAGCCGAGAGAGAGAGAGAGAAAAAGCGCGCAATTTATAACGATCGAGAGTCGTGTGTGTCGATGCACTGGCCGCGTATGCACTGCTAGGAGCTATATCGCTACACACGCACAGGTTCCTCCGACTCGTGATTTACTCCATACGTCACGACTTTCGAGCAGCAGCAGCGTATATTTAATATTTTATTCTCGTCATTCTGCTCACGAGTCGCGCGTACGCAATTATAAAAGCTTTCATTGTGCAGTCTTTTCGCGCTCGCGCCACTCCAAGGCCGATATGCAGCTCGCGCAGCTTTTCATGCGCCTTTATCTCGGCCCGAGGATCGTTGACACTCCACACTACTGTATTTCTATCCAAAGTCTATCTGAGAATCGCTCGCTATCGAGATGCAACTTTTCATGCGTCGATTCGCATACAACCTCTTAATAGGCTACTGACTTCTTAACGTCTACTTTAAATTTCATTGCGACTTACCAATGCGATTGCGGCCAGGCGTAAATTGGATGAATTTTTCTTTTCTCGCTAATTGCAATTGCCTTCGTAAGAGCACTGTTTGTCTTGATCACTACTTGAACGAGCTCGAATGGCAATGAGCGTCCATTCTACGTTAATCACCTCGCGTTAAACACTTTTGAACTTGGACACTGCATAGGGCTTTAATCACTGATAACGGCAAACCCACTTATTGCGTGAAAAGCAACCGCGATCAAAACACAAGTGGCGTGCGTGCGTGTGTGTCAGTTGCACCGCACCGGGTGTCGAGGCGTTGGGCAGCAGCGGGCCTCTGGCCTGTACGAGAGTCGAGCTTCTACTGACGCCACAAGCTGCCTCTTTTAGCGAAGCTCTTTGGACGCGGCTATAACGTAGTGCGCGCGTGTATGTAGCAGCGATCGGCGTGCGCGCCACTCGCTCGAGCCGAGCTTGAAATAGATATACGAGCCAACCCTCGCGCTTCCTGCCCCACTCCGCCAGCGGGCCACGCATCCAACTGCCGCCGTCTGCAGCTCCTACGTACGCTATGTAGCATACGAAATATATCTGCACCTACTCGTACACTTGGATCCTCTTCCCTTTGCGCCTCGCTTTTAACCCGCGAATCTTTGCACTGCCTCAGCAGCCTACTCTATTCGAGCTCGCCAGAGGATACGTAATCCATCGGCTTTTTCACCATGCTCTTTACTTTTATCGAGCATCTGCCTCTCGAGTGCTGCTAGCCTCCACCACAGAGCAGCCAAAACTTTGGGCTGCTTCTTCGATCGACTCTTTCCCGATTCTGCGGATGTTTACGGAAAATATCATTGGCCTTTCAGCAACTATGTGACATAGGCGAAATGCAAAATGTGCCCTCGTACTCGAAAATTGGCCTACAGGCGCGTTATCACGATCGCGGTGCGTGTACGACGAACGATATTTATAGGCGATCGGTGATAGCAACATCCGGCGTCGCAGCTCAATTTTTCGATGACTTAATTCTCTAGCTCCGTCGAGTTTCGTCTATTTGGGTTTGGCGTACGTGCCTAATTAGCCGAGCGACGCGTGCTTTTCTCTCCTTCGGAGCCTACGAGTCAGATAATTCGAGCGAAGCTGCATTAGACCACGCGCGTGGCGCATTTTCCGACGGCAGCCGCGCGTGCTTCTCGCGCTCGGCTATCAATCAGCTGCGCGCATCCACTTGAAAATAGATTAAAAAACTCGTAAAGACAACGCAGCTATTTCGGAGCATATCCGATTATCGTAATGAATGAGCCGTACCGTCTATTCAACTACTATCTTAATGATGCAATCAAAATATCATTAAATCCAAATCGAGCGTCAAATATTTCCGAGGAGAATGAAAATATTTCAAGCAAATTGACACCTGCTTGGCGATCGCTGCTGATCTGCTGCTGGAGCAGCGGCTTCGGGGCCTCCTTCTAGAATCTTTGCATAAATCGACTCTTCTGGTGACTGGCAAACTTTGCCGCCAATACGATCGTCGAGAATAGTTTGCTACTCGATACGCGTAGCCACGGCACGGCGTCCACGTGCATTCGTCCGTGCGTTCATTCAGCTAGGCATTTTGCCTCCAACCGACAAAAAAACAGCTCGACTGCAAAAAATCCTGAAAGATGAACGAACCGAGTCAACGAGTCAAAAAGGAACGAACGAACGAGCTCATTTTTCTTTCTTTACGCGCTACTGTGCATCTCCTACGAGCACTACTTGTTGTTTTTTTTTTTCAACGGGGGACGACTCGGAGAGAAATTTTGCTCGACACGCACACGCACATACACACATACATGGTATGCATGTGGATATGATATACATGGATACGTGCTTGTGTATTTTTTGTCTGCCTATGGAACATATACATTCGAAACACATGTGTACTTCGCTGCCTCGGCTTACGAACGCTTCAGTAACTTTTTTAATATCATTTATAACATATTACGTTTTTGATATATTTTTTCATCTCCGTTATGTTAAGGATATTTTGGTAAAATTCTGCCGCCTTCTGGCCCTGCTCGCGTCTCGTTGTATAACGTTCAAGTCCGCTTGTACGGCGCAGAGATATACGCGTCTCTAAGGACTCGTGCAGCTAATCCAGCTGCGCGGCGTTTCCTCGTCCGACTTTGCCGCCGCTCAAAGTGATTATGGCATTTTGTATTTATACATTGTTTGCTCAGGCATGTATACGTATTGATGCACTTGCAAACGTCCATCATGAGCAGTATCCGGCGTATCACGAGCACATCAAACGAACTTACAATTATTAATGATGCCGCACGTGTCTCTTTCTCCAGGAAATTACTTGGTCACTCGCTTTTCAACAAAAACATCCATGTATTTTGATTGCATGCCGTCGGCTACGCGGCTGAAATAGATCATCGAGTGTGCACGAAGAAACTACAGGCACAAACGGCCATTTTTTATATTTTATACATAAATTATATTATGTAAGATTATACGAGGGCCAGAGAGCGAAAAAACCTAGCTAATTTGGCCAAAGTCGGCTTTCGGCGCGTAACTTGAAACGAGCTGCTGCTGCTGCTGCTGCTGCTGCAGAGGCAAAAAATATATCGTTAATATACAAAGAGCAGTGCTGAAGATTTCTTCAAGGTTAACGCAGAGTTTACGGCTAGCGGAGAGTAAATGTGGTCATATATCCGAGAAAAGGGGGATAGTATAGATAGAGTGGCTCGCGGACGAGGCGGAAAAGCCCTCGAGTGCATTCGAGTGTACATCCTGAAAATGGAGCAAAACGTCGATAAGGGCGAATTTAGCGAGTCCGCGAAATATTCATTACTCGTCCGAATCGCGCGCGAGTTTATAAATGAGCCAAGTGGCAGCAAATAGAAAAGGGAAAAGAGGAAACAAGCGACAAGATCCGGCACGGCGTGGCGAATATCATCAAAGTCTAAAATTATACAGATTTAATACTGGCCAGAGGAGCAATTATAGGATCAAGAAAACTTTCAGAGATAAATTTTCAATAAGAATGGTAAATTAAAAAGGTCAAAGCTCCGCGACAAGAAGGGTGGGCGGTGAATAAGGAAAATTGGGGTAAAGTCAAAGGGTAAACGAGTCGAGAAGAGGGAAAAGAGTCAGGATGAAAAACGAGGGCTGCTGGCGGATAAAGTTGGCCGGCCGTCTCTCATCGCGGAATAAACACTCGGATAAAGTCGGGGGCGCGCGCAAAAGTGCATTAAACATCCGACACGAAAATAAGCCTGGCGCGATAGGAAGTGGCATTTCATTGGGATGCGTATACACAGGCGTCCTGCGATCTCTCGTCGGCTGGTCCATAAGTGTATGCTGTTATGGATGCTGTAGTGTACAGCGAGTCGCGTGGCGCGCGCCCAAGTGCGACACATGCACGTAATAACGCGCACACTTTGCCTATATAAATGTGGACAGTGGGCGCAAGCGTGATTTCCTGTTTCCTGTTCAACTGTATAGAGCGCTTGCCGAGCCGCCGAGAGAGGCAACTGCCGTCGCGCTGATTTTTCCACTATAAGTAGCTGCTCTCGACTTCTCGCTCGCACTTCTCGAGGCCCCAAAGAGATGAATGAAAAGCTAAATCCGGTGCGCGCCCACTGCACTAACATCGCCTCGCTGCTGCTGCTGCTTTCCTTTTTCCTCGGCATTTTTGCACGAGTTGCCTATTTGCTCTCTTTCTCTCTGTTTCTCGCGCTTTCCGGAATCTCTGCTAAATGTCCGCACGGAAGCCGGTAGCTATCGCTTTTAAGGGCCAGCCGTCGATGGATCGATTCGTGCACTGCGCGGCTATAAGGAGAGCTGCGGCGTTTCGGCATTCTCGGACGTTGTTAACGCGTCGCTGTACTAACATACAAGTGACTCGAGTCTCGGCTGGCGCAACTGCGGCTCAGCGAAGCGTGACGAGACGACGACGACGACGACGACGCGTACTTGCGTACACGATCGCGCTCTATTGCCGATTCAGTTCACGGGACAGCTGCTGCTAAACAACTCGCAAACTGCATATAGCGGCCCGAAACAAGTGCACGTCAGCAGCGTCTCGGCCTTTTTTTTCCGCCTTCCTATGTAGACGCGCTCAGTGTCGTTACAACGGGAAGTAGCAACATTACGCTGCTGCTGCTGCTGCTACTACTCGCGCTCATGTACTTTATTAGTTGTAATATAATGTATAATCCAAGTACGCAGCTCTTTGAAGAGAGCCTTTGAAGCCCCTCGCGTACGAGCATGGCTTACGCGTTTTTCCGTCCACGTGAGCCCTTTTAACTTTCACCTCCAATAAAGCATACCGAGAAAAGACTGCGCCGCGAGCCACGGCTTTTAAGCCAATGCAACATCCGATTCCGCGAGCCGCTCATCTTGTAAGCTTCGATGTAAATAATTACGCCGAGCTGCGAATGCAAATGCCCAGCTCTCGGTAGGCTTGTTTGCGCTGGATCGCCCGCTTAATCCACATAATGGCAAAAAGCTTGATCGAGCGCAGCTCGACGAGCCTCGTTGCAGCCGTAATATGCCTTGGCCGCTGCAGTGCTGTCTGCAGTTCGCTGCCCTGCACTGCTGCAAAAGGCTTGAAAAGATGAAACAAGGTTGCGTCGCCGTGTGTAGGCTATTATACGCTCTTTCTCTCTCTCTCTCTCTCTCTCTCTCTTTTCTCTCCCATCTCATAAAAATGCTTACGCGCATCCTACGACATTCGCCTTGGCTATATATTCTTGCTCGCTTGCTCGCTTGCATCTGTATACACTCTATGTACGCGATGTGTATACGCACTTCCGCCGATTGTTGCCGCTCCGCAGTTCGCCGTCGACGCTGTCGTTTTCTTCTTCTTCTTCGCAGTTCGCTTTGTGCGCGTCCTTTTCATTTTACTTTTTACCAATATGTGTTTTCTTGGCGCACGGCTATATAGCTGCAGCTCTTTTTACCCAGACCACTTATAATTGTTGCGCATAAATATTTGCTTTTCAACCTATATATACACTTCTACCGAGTACTTCTCATGATAGTTCCCAACTCCCTTCCTTCCTTCCTTCCTAATTCTTGACAGTCCTGGAAAATCGATCAAGTTGCACTCGCTTACTCCCCGACCACAATAATGTCATTTGTATGAGAAAATTTTACATCGTGTTCTTGCGGCTAAGTAAAAAAAACAAATACTGTCCCGCATTTGGAAAAAACTTTTCGGAAGTCTTTTATGTATGCATCCATTCATGAGTGCGGCTCATAATGAATCGTTAGTACTCTCCATTCAACATTTTTTAAGACATTTAATACGAGTACAGTATGTGGGAAATGCTCACTTGTTTTTATGCTTCTGGGA